CAGTGTGCATAAAAAAAACGATATATGGCAAGTGAATCCATTTCTGACAAAACTGTGTGTCGCGGAGCAACACAAACCTCCTGAGGCTTTTTTAAATGCACATAAATTTTGATAATGTAACTCTAAAGGCTCTCGCCTCAAACAGTGACCCAATGTGAACACAGAAATTTTCATTCCACAGGGATGGAAATTTCTCTCTAAAGATATAACCTGGACACAGGGCAGCCACTGAGCAACCAGCATTAAACCACTGATTCACCTCCATGGAGCATGATTACAAAAATATGGACTAAGAGACTTTAACTGCGGCTGACCTTATGCAGTATACACTCACCGTCCACTTTGTAAGTTGCTTTGATTCAACAGCTCGTGGTTGCATGTATCTAATCAGCGAATCACATCACAGCTGCATTTGGGAATGCAAACATAGTCAAGAAGACCTGCCGAAATTCAAACTGACCATCAGAATGGGAAAGAAAGGTGATTTAAGTGTATTTGATGGTCGTTGGTGCCAGATGTACGGTGGCCCTGAGAGGCCAAACGGACTGCAACTTAAGAAAAGACCAGCAATAAGAAAAACCCTGCTAAAACACACAAAACACAATGGAAATCGGAAAAACAGAAAAACAGAATTAGGAAAAGACAGATTTCCAAAAGCACAAGGGAAGTGTTTCTGGGGAGACAATAACCCGACGGACCAGTTGCAGGAACCCAAAACATGGTAGGTGTGTTTTAATCACATGATTCATATAATACTGATGACAGATTTTTAGGCTAATAGTCAGGCTAACACAGTTACCTCTCATCTTTTCTTTCCTCACAAAACCGATAGAGCCTCCACTTCTTTTAAGTGTCTCCCAGCACAATTCTTAGCATATTTTGGTTCCTGCAACTGGTCCGTCGGGTTATTGTCTCCCCGGAAACACTTCCCTTGTGCTTTTGGAAATCTATTTTTTCCTATTTCTGTTTTTGTTTTTCCTATTTCCGTTGCATTTTGGGTTCTATTGCAACGTTTTTCTTATTGCTGGTGTTTTCTTAAGTTGCAGTCCATTTGGCCTCTCAGGGCCACCTTACAGATGGGCTGAATTTGGGTGCTTTAGAAACAGCAGATTTTCAACACAACCACCCCATTAAGGTTTACAGAGAATGATCCAAAAAAGCAAAATACCCAATGAGTGTCAGTTCTTTGTCTTGTTGATGCCAGAGGTCAGAGAATGGCTTTCATAGGACTTCATAGGAATTAAACAGTAAGTCAAATAATCACATAATACAATTAAGGTCTGCAGAAGAGCATCTCTGAATGTACAGCGCATCAAACCTTGAAGCAGATTGGCTACAGCAGCAAAAGACCTCACCAGGTGCTGCTCCTGTTAGCTGGAACAAGAAGCTGAGGCTGCAGTTAGCATGATCTCGTGGACAATAGATCACAGGCATTTAAAACTAAACAATAATGTTTGTTTGTATCAATGGTTTCGTTGTAGCAAGGTGTACCTAAAAAAGTGGCAAGTGAGTGCATATATTTGTAAGCTTGGCTCTGTTCTGAGACATCTCTCTACCCTTTCAATTACACATACAGTGTTACACATCCGTGATAATATTTATGCAAAAGAAATGGAGGAGCTGACCTTTGTGGTTGCAAAGGGGCTTGCAGACACATAGAAACTGTGGGTGTATAAGATGTCAGCAAGTGTCAGGTGATCTACCAAGAGTGAAGAACTGAGTTTGACTTTAACTGACATGTAGGATATCCCCGGAAATGTCAGGATTTCACTCATCAATGACTTCCAGTGTCTGCAACAAACCTTTTTTATAAAATCTTATGTATGATTCCCCATCATCTTCGTGATAGCTGACTGGATAAGCACCAGTGTAACCACCATTATGTTCAATTCTGCCAATTGAAATATCTACTGATTGAATCTGACAGCATTGCATATTTAAATTATGCAGGTTATAAAATCTTCTGCTGTATTTGGCTGTCACCCAAGCATTTGTTCGTCCTTTATCTGTCTTTGAGTATTATGTCCTCAGTTATCGGTACAGTTGCTTTTCTTCTTCCTAGGTGTTGTAACTTTTTTTTTTTCTTAGACTGATAATCAGTGTCTGCCTGTAAAAAAGAACAACCACTTCACAGTTTTGTCATGTCTTTATGCTTCTCTTTCCATTCTTGAATGACATGATGTTCACCTGTATGTTTTTAAGTGGAAAACAGTTGTTACCTTTAGCTTTTTGCAGCAGCCTGTGAGCAAGTTTTTCACAAAAATACATCTAAAATTTATTCAATTAAAGTAATTTCCATAGTTTTGGTTGGCACAGTGTCATTGTCTTGTTTTGACGCTAGGTCTATGCTTTGCTTTTATG